ACTGACGCACTCCACCTTCAGTGATAATGTTGTCCCCATACACTTCACGAAGCTGCCGATAGATTTCTATCGGTTTACAGTTTTTTGCAGTCAGAAACCTTATTACTGAGCGCACCTCGCACGGCTAGATGCAGACTGAGCTGCGCAACGCTCTGACCCCAAGATGGCCGCGCTAGCCCCGCCCCTAGCGGACACAGACGGAAACGTAATCTACTTCCTGGATGGCCCTCGTATATCACTTAAAGTGCAAATTCGATCACACCGGATATGCCACTGAGATTCTGGTTCGAGTTTTACATTTCCGAGATCAAAACAAGATTAAACAAGATTAGGCTCTACACAACGCTGATGTCACTTACTTACACAACTGGAAGAAACGAAAACACAAAAAGAGTAGTTGCTTTTGAGCAAACCAGGAGTCAGTGGCATCACACAAGAGCAAATCTGCGATCGATTCGATGTTTGTTGAGTAACAGTAAATACGCACTTTGAATGCATAATATTAACTAATAATACACTTAACTTTTTGAATTGATACAATATCACCACCAGTGAGTTAGGATATTCCAGGAAGCTACATTCGTTACTTCCTGGAAATCAAGGATTGTTTTTATGTTCCTTTTCCAACTAAGTTAAGTTGAAACATAACATAAAAATCTGGCTTCCAACTTTTAAAATAAATTTTATAATTTTAATGACTACCTATAATTTTCAATTTCATATGCACGTGCTTAAACTCTTGAATTCCATCATTAGTTCATATTTTTAGAGAAATTATACGCTTATAAGCTAACTTAATTACTTTTATATCATTAATGTAAATGATATTAACAATCAAAAGAAGAAAAAAGTATCCTAGAAAATTACAGCAAACGTCTACAACAGTTAAGTCTGATTATATTTTTGTAGTTTTGTTTTAATTTCTACTAGGTGAAAGGAAAGCACATGCAATCCTTTGAATTTTTGCTCTTAAAAGGACACTAGAAGTTTAATCTTCTTGGTAAATGGATAACTGTAAATTTCTGAAAAGGTTCTTAATAATGTAACAGAATTTTTAAGTTTTTGAACTCTTAACAAAAAAATTCCAAAATTTCATTCATCTTTTCCCCCTGTAAACAGAAATTGTTTTCTGGTTACTTTTTTTGCTTGTCGAAAGGTAGATAAGACATAAAGATTTTCAACAAAAATGGAGGTTCGAGAAACTTAACTTTTCTTCACCCTCACCCTGATAAAAACCCAGAATTCTGATCTGCAGCTATTCGGAAGGAACGCAGAAAAAAGCAAATTCTGGGAAGGCCCAAATTATTTATTTGCTTCCTTCCGCCTTTTGACTGCAACCGTCACCTAATCTGCCCAGTGCAGAATATGGCGCGGGTACATTTAATGATGACAATGCTCCAGGCGAGGGACATTGTGGAATATCAAAAGCCCATTTTAACTCCGTTTCGCGCCTTTTTTGTAGGGAACCACGGATAATTATGCCGGAAGTAGTTTCTGGCAATGCAAAGCCTATTAAGCAGGAATTATTGTACCCCCACTCGTTGCTATCGACATTCCTACGTGCTTAATTTTGCTTTAGTTGGATGATTATTTAATGTGTTTCAGTTTAGCTTTTATAAAATTTCTATTAACAAATTACAAGTTTTACAGCTCTGCACATTGCTCTTTAAAATACTTAGCATCTGTTTGGTGATGAACCATTTTCAATTTCATATCACTACAGTTTCAGTTATATTAAAATGTATTCCTGTATACTTATACATTTGATAACTGGGCAAATTGCTTTTGATAAGTGTTCCCACAATAAGTGTTTTGCGATATTGCTGTTGAACTGAATTTTTTGGTTAAGTGCGAAAAACATGATATTTAATAAATAATGTTAAAAAAACGCCCCTTTGGGCTTCCTCCTCCTCGTCTACATGAGGATAACCTAAAATATAATCTTTGACTTACTATGGTCTGATCTTCTGTTAACAATGAAAAAGAGCTAATCATTTAGCAGAAACCGTAACTCGAATTTTAATTATTTTCTGAATTAGCAGTATGCATGATAGTAGACGAGCATATGCAAGATACTCCTGCGTATGAGAAAAATACCCCTCCCCTCAGAAAACAAAATTTGTGAATTGTTGAAACTTACCTTTTAAACGATTAAATAAGTACAATCAACCCTCCCGGTAATGACCGCTCATTACAGCGACCAATGTAAAACGTTGCCAGCTCATTAAGTATATATTAAATCCATTTTCATTATAGAGCTTTTTCATTGTAACATCCCTTTTTTTTTTTTGCGAGGGGTCGTTTTAATAAGTGTCAACTGTATCAACACTCCTTGTTATCTAAAATGTTTACATCCTCATCAGTGAATTGTTGACCTTGTTTAATTGTGGTCTTTCTGTTTGCTGCAATTTGTTGCTTCAAACATTCTTTAGGTCTATAATGAGCTTTTAGTTGTGCTAATAAACGGCAATGCTAACCAATTAAGCTAAAAAGGCAAAAAGAAATGAAGTAGCAGGAGTCAGTGCAACAGCAGACTGGTTGACTGCGAGCTCATCAAGCTCATCTTAACAAACCTTTTTGGACGACCGTTCAAGTCTGAGCCTTTTCAGGTTTTCTTTTTAATGTAGATCTTGATTTGGTATGAACAAAATTTAACGACTACATTGTCTTTTGTGTTTTAATAAAATACATCAAGGTACATCACAGTAATACAGCAATAGTGCAAAGGCGCAACAGTTGTTGCATAACGCAAAACCGAGAATATTCTCTTTGGGTGCAACAGTGCAACTTTACAATGAAAGTTGCTAGATTAGACTTTTATATGCACTGGGCTGGGTAAATTAGATCTAGATTATGTTCAGTAGGTTTGGGTATATTAGAACGTAATCGTAGTGTAAACCAAGGAGTCCCTGTTGTTAAAACCAGTTTTCGTTGCATAGCAACCCTGTAATAATCCGGTACATCTTATATCTGATTCATTTGTGAAAGCGAAAGTTGCGTCGACATGGGTTTGTCCCCAAATATTTGGCCATGTGATAAGACTTGACGCTGCTTACCTCGGATTTATGTTGCATATCGAAAAAAAAAAAAAAAAAATTATAAAAGCGTAAATTTTTGTGCCTTTAAATGTAACCTGGGCCTGTGCTCTCTCATTCCGCCCTTCACTTCTGGGTGACTAAACAACAAAAATTCTGAATTCATTTCTGAATTTTCTTCTGCAGCCAGGTGATTATGTTGCACTATATAAAAGTCTCATTACCTGTCATGTCATCACCTGCTTTTATACATTCAGTTTTCTCAAAAATAGGGCATTGGGAATAAACTAAAAATTTGTTTCATTCCAAATAACGAATTTCCTGCCATTTTTCTTTTAATTTTAGAGTACACATGTTTTATTTCTTCTACCAAAACGCATTTATAATATATTTTCTTCCCCTTCTTTCCCCTGACAATTGGCACTAGGACATTGTATCTCACTTAGTAAATGCGCGCGCACCTGCCTGGAGTGGAACCGGACGGAAAACGATGCCGATGACAAAAATAAACGATAAATAATAATCGCCAGCTGCTCACGCGGCACAGCTTCATTAAGAAAATTGCGCCTGAGTTGGTGCTTTCGCAGACAGATGTATTTTTAGGAACCCTTGTAGCTCGGTGTGACGAATGTAACGCTGGAAAGATGAATTAAGTGTCTCGCTAGAGGGTTTTAAGTGTGTCTTGCACGTGCTTTCCGTGACTTTCGATGAGATTCCTTTGTCTCCACCCACTTTCAAAACCTGACCAGAAAGAACGGAATAAATTAATAAAAGAAAATTTAACTTTTCGACTTGGTTTCTCATTCAATAAAGATTCTCCCAAATCAGGGTTATAAATTTAATTAAATAAAATGTCATTCTTTTCCTGCTAAAAACTTTTTCTAAGTGCCTGTGAAAATTGGCTGTGTATTTGAAGAATAATAAATTTTTATTTCTTAATCTGGCGAATTTGTAGAGAATCTTTTCAAAGAGGCTATACATTGGGTATAAAGTTAAATAAATATGGATTTTTATTTCACGTCACGGATGAGTTTGTTCGTCATGAAAATGAAAACTATCATTTCTTGAAAAAGCTGTTATAATTTGCTACATTCACTTTAAAAACTGCATTTGAAATAGCCCTTTTAGTTATGAGAATACTTTTATTATAATTTGTAGAAAATAAGCTGTTACTTCGATAATATTTAGTTTAGAGCATTAATAATTTTAATGCATTCAAATAAGTTTTAAAGAAAATTATTAATCTCTCCCTTTTCGATTCTTTTCATTTATACGAATTCATTTTCAGTGTAGTTTTTCCATGACTGGCTCTTGAAGTTGAAGCAATTTTCTACTGAAGATGAGAGACCTTTATTAATCGCTCTTGAAATCCATAGAGCTTACTTCAAAGAATGTCCCATACTAATTTCTTTTTTAAATAATTTAAAAATTTTCATTGCCGTACTTTTTTTTTTCCCTAACTCAGTGTTTTTTTTTTTTTTTTTTTTTTTTTTTTAGGAAAAAAATAAAGTTAAAAACATGTGCTTAGTTTACACAAATTAAAAAAAATGCTTATTTTTATTCGGCGAAAAACGAATTATGGGTTTAGGTAAATGAAAAATTATTTCCTTGTTTAATTTTGTCCAGATATGACTACTTTCATATTTTGTTTTAAAGAAAATTTTTGAACTCTTTAATTTTTCTTGAAATAAGATAAATGAAAAACTAAAATGTCCTCATTTCCATTACGATAAACACGTATTCGTTTTGCAGGCAAAAATAATCTAAATATCCGAATTTTAGTCTTCTTCGTTTAAAAATCCGGATAATTGAAACCTTATTAATGCGAAAATAAAGCATGCTCAAGATATATTAAAATTTCTCTTCATTCTGAAAATGCATTTGGAATAATTAACTTAAAAATCTTCTTTTCTGTGTGCATATGTTAGCATTTGGAAAGCCAATAGCAAAATAAAAACTTCTTTTTCTGCAATTCGATTTACTTCTTATGGCTAGGTCATCTAAAATACAGAAGCAAGATACGTAATCCATCAAATGATTCTCTAGTTCTCGAAAGCTGGAGAAGAATTTGAAATAACTAAACAGGTAAAGCTTTCTTTCTTGTATCCTTGGTAATCTGCTGTTCAGAAAAGTGTACACAATGAAAAGACATCTGTCAGCGTTTCTTGTTTCAGAACTTCTTTCCCAACTTCATGAGTACCCTGTAAAAAGAACATACACTGAAAAATGTAAAAAAAAAGGAGTTATAGAATGTAAAATATCTCACCTTATCTTTTAACTGACTAGACCTAAGTCATTTCTTAGAAACGAGTGAAAAATGAAATAAAAAAATACCAAGATGTTCGCCGCCTTGAATTTTTTAGAAACTCAGTATGGAACAACAGCAGAGAAGTGTACCGAAGTACTTTATTTTTAGCCAAAAGACTAAAGGGAACGGTATTCTAGAACGTTTGTATCCCAGGAGGTGCCCGAGAACGCTGATAACAGTAGAGCCCCCAAAAATGTAAACTTAAAAAGAGGGATGAGAACAAAAATCGAGTTTGAGATGCAGAGTCTTTGTGAGGCGCCTTAACAAGAGAAAGGACGAACCGTTTGCTTTATTTACGCGAGGTGTCTTCATAAGATCCTACGTTTTTTAAATAATTTTTCATTTTTTAAGCAAACGTACAATGTAATAGAACAAATATATTGCAAATATATTTTTTACATTAAATATTGAAGAAAAATATGCGTCTAATTAGCTAACTAACAAAAAATTAATATTATTTTTTAAGCAGAGAAGATTAAAAGATATAATTAAATGCATTTTACTAAAATTTAACTAATAATAATTATATATTTTACAGAAATTAAAAAATAAAAATAAAATAAAACCTTGTTCTACAGCTGTCGATTTTATGAAAGGAATTTCATTAAAATTAATCGAAAATTTTACAGATTGCAGTTATTTTACATTTAGGACAGTTAATTATTTCTCATACTGTTGCGTACGTAAAAGTACTAACAAATAATGCACTATAAATCGATAATGAATATAGGCAGTAGTTCTTTAAAGCTTTATTTCATTTTCTCAGTTAGATAATATTGAACGTTTTTTATTTTCAAGTTATGCCATAACCTATGGTTAATAAATTGTAAATGATATGGAATAAAAATAAAGCAGTAAGTAAAAGGTACAGAATGCCCTCTGCAGTGTCGCTGTTATTTAAAGGCACGTAAAAAACTTCCTTCCATCAGCCTCAGAAAAACTACAATTTATGACAGAAGCAAACTCATTTAAAAATATATTCTTGGCCGAAAAATTAAAAACAATACAGTTCTTCTGATTATACGGTTACAATAAAAAAAATTTGAAATTTTCGAACAAGAAAGAGTTAAACAAAATTAATTAACACCTTTATTTTCATGATTTTTCAGGCAAATTCTCGAATTCGAAATTTTGCCAATTAGAAAAGTCTTTAGTATATTATCTTAAAATTGATTCTAAACATATTTAAGACTCTAAACAACATAATAGTTAACGAAAAATTTGTTGCATAAGATTGAAATTCGTTGCATAAGATTTTCATAAAAAATTTACTTTCTTGATCAACGTCTTTAATTATCACATCATTCCAATCCGTAATTATTTTTCGGATACTTTTGCGTTATACAATCATTAAATTATGCCGTTTCTTCAGTTTTCAGACACAACATTCTAAACGCTTATATTATGAATGTAGTTATGTGAATAAATTAACAAACATATTTAAGAACGTAATAATTATGCAAAATTTACATAATAATTATGCAAAAAATGTCTGAATCTCATCACGAACCTGGTTTTCCTTTGTAAATCATAAATTTGTGTCATTTTCTGGTAAATTAATAAAAGATTATAATTAAAAATATTAGTGCATTTCATCGCACTGAAAATGGAAGAAAATAAAGAGTTTGAAGAAAGTGAAGAATTTTTTAACTATGTTCGGAGCAACTTATCGACTCGGCATATCTTTACTTCCTGAATAAATCGTTGATAAAATCAGTAGAACGTAGAAAGACATTTGATGGATATGGTATCAAACGCATCTGGACCACTATTAAAAGGTAGCTGCAAGGCTAATGTATAAGAAAAATCAATTGGATTTCTGTGTAGCTTTCTAGGTCCTGTAACAAAAAATTTGGAAATATCTTAACGGATAAACACTCATCGATATAACCGTCAGAGGATAAAGGTAAATTTTAATGTATTTTATTTCCTTTATAACATTAAAAATTTATTTTATTTTATTTTTCAGTTCAACGGTTAATATTCAAGAACCGTTAGAAACTCATTTAGCCCTGAAGCCAGTAACATTGAGTGCAATGCTTTATACCCAGTGATACCATCTTTTAAAGCTTAATCAAAATTAGTTGCTTCTACCAAGTGTGTTATCTAAGTGTTTTATGAATTTAGTGTTTCTCCTAAATTATGACAGATATTTACAAGTGTTTTGAGGTCGCTGGTTAGACTGTATATACTAAAGACAACTTTACAACAACAACAACGCCCACCAGCGGCCGAGCGGTAAAAACGCTGAACACTGGTAGTTCGGTCTGAGGTTCGAATCCCGCGAACGGGCTGGCTGCATGGGCGTTTTCGTGGTTTTCCCCATTTGTAACGTGTATACGAGCCAGTTTCCCTTAGAAAGCCCTCCACGAAGGCATCCCTCTCTTTAGGCAGATAGCCCTCGTGTGCTTTGCCATAATTAAATAATCCAATCCAATCCAATCCAACAACAACAACAACTTTATTTCGTAGACTGTATCATAACTAAAAATCTAAATCGAAAATGATAAATTCCCGACCATACGGGATCAAAGCATGTATGCTACGCTAGAATTTCGAATCTTAACTAACTAAAATTGCGCAGAAACAATGCGCTGTACATAACTTTGAAGTTGAGCAGAAACAATGCGCTGTACGTAACTTATATTGCCGCGTAGGAGGCAAAAACAAGCAAGTTCTTTTTATCTTTCAATGTCACATTTGAATATCGATTGTAATCATACTGTAAATTTATGCACATAACATAAAACTATCAAAGAAAATTTTTGGAGTTCTTAGAATATTTATGTTTCATTAAAAAAGAAATGCAATATAAATATTCTAATACAAATTAGCGTTTGTCGAAATATAATTTCTTATCTTATTATAAACTGTGTTTCAAAATATTGAATGTATGAGACGGCTGAAAAGTAGCAGTTCATCCAGGGTTCTGTCCCTTGCGAACCACTTAGCTTAAGGGCGCGGGTAGTTTTCCCATGTTTAATGTGGAGGGTAGTAGCTCTTTCTTAGTTATGACTACACGAAGATTCGCGAAGCACTTTTTAATGCGATCAAGTCAGACAGATACTAGTCCTCGCAAGTTTTACTATAGACGCATATTTAAGGCAAATAACCCTCGCATGCTTTATCACACATGCATGTCTAAGGCAGACAGTCCTCGAATGCTTTCCCGTAGATGTAGTATATCTAAGGCAAACAGCTCCAGCATGATTTGTCATTATATGCATACATAAGACTGACATCTCGCTTATGCTTTGCCATAAGCAGAGAATCAAATTAAACAGAAGAGCATTTCAATGATTATCTGCCGATTATTTTAAATTTAACTTTATTTACTTTAAGCACTTTCAGTTAGTAAAGAAAAGCAAAATAATAATAAAAATAATATGCATTCTAAGTATTTAGGAAGGTTTTCAACGATAAGAGTATTCTAGTATGTTCTACGTATAGGTATATAAGTCTGTCGTATTTATTTAATGGTATGGTAGGTTTATGAAAGAGTTTTTCTTCCTCAAGGCTATTTTAAAGCTTCTTTTCTACAAAAGATTTAATGCTCAAATGTAATTTTGATTTTCTATGTTTAATTAATTTTGTTAAAAACAATAAGAACAGGTTCACCTTGGAGACCTTAAAATAATGTCATTCTATTTTTAATTTTGCAATGAATTTTCTAAGGAAAAAATTCGTAAGATAGGAATTAGTTTAAGAATTTTTCAAATTTTTTCTGTGTTTTGTTTCAGGATAATCGGATGAAGAGAATTAAAAAAAATATTCTCTGAAAATTTATTACATTTAATTAAAGAAAACCTAGCATAGAAAGTAAAGGAATTCACACACAAGTTAAGAAATTTATTTCCCTCCTTTATTAAAAATTATTCATCCTTAATAATATTGATGAATAATTATTAATTCTTTAATTAACCTGAATAGAAATTATCATGCTGTGAATTTAGTAATAATTACTTCTGCCATTTTGAATAGAAAATATATCTCAGATTTTAAGATTAATGAATTTACTCCGCTTCCCATCCTTAGAGATTCATAAATCTAACAAAAAGTCACAAATAAGTATTATTGTAGTTACAAATATAAAGGTATGAATTTATATAATTTCTATTAATATATTAAGATACTTAAATATCGTAACAAAACAATTACTGTATTAGGATGTTTAATAAGCTATGTATCATGTTCCTCTGATTAAGGATTTTTACTGTGTTAAAGAATTCTATTCAATAATGAATTAAGCCATTCTAATCGGACCTATAAAACGTATAAAACTTTCCTCTAAAAATAATATTTTTATTTTATTTATAATTACAATAAATTTTAGATAGGAAAAATGATTGTAAGTGAATTTAAACTAAGCCATGTAAATTTCATTAATAGAGTTGTGCAGATAAAAAAGTTTAAAGAGCAAGGAAACGCGATACATATATTGGACATAAAAATTTGTATATTTAACGTTGGAAGGGTTTTGAATTCAGTTTTCAATAAATAATTGATTATATTTTATATAACGTATATAATTTTGTATTGTATTATATTTCATAAAATGTGTGTTCGTTTTCATACAACATATTCTACTAAAAATGATACCTTTCAAACTGCTGCTCGCACTCTATTTAGTATAGAAAAAAAATTATTTAAAAAAAATATGTAGGTAAAAAACAACAGAAAGTTTTAAATCACCATTTTAGCTATTTAAATATGGGAGAAAAATTATAATATGAATTATTTTCTGACAAAGGCTTGTATTTTGTAACACAGGAAATGCAGAAAAGAACGCCATTATTTGCATATCTGATTGATATTTCAATTTTGACAGATTTATGTTTCCGCCCAACTAAAAAACGGCGCCGCAAAAAGTAAACATCTGTCGAATTACCTCGC